GTCAAATGACTAAAAATGACATGTTATTGTAACTCCATAGTGTGACTAATTAATTCATTTTATATTAATAAAATAATTAACAATATTAAATTTATTAATTATTTAAAAATTAATTAAGTTAAATTTAATTATTTTAAATTAATTATTATTATTAATTAAGAATATTTGATATTAGTTAATTAATTCCATTATAATGAAATATTAGCATTAATAAGATGAATTAATTAACTAAAAATTAGTTATATAATAAAAAAATGTATTTAATTAATATATTTTTATATATGATATTTTTTATAAAAATGTATTCAATTAAGATATTTTTATAATATGATATTTTGTGATTATTAGTTACTAATATTGAGATTTATTAATTAAATTCATGTAAGAGAAATACTATTATTAATAAATAAATAAATTAATTATAATAAAAAATAAAATGAATTAATTAACAAAAAAATTAGTTATCTCATAATAAAAATGTATTTAATTATTTAATTAAGATATTTTTATATATGATATTTTTTATAAAAAATGTATTTAATTAAGATATTTTTATATATGATATTTTGTGATTATTAGTTACTAATATTGAGATTTATTAATTAAATTCATGTAAGAGAAATACTATTATTAATAAATAAATTAATTAATTATAATAAAAAATAAAATGAATTAATTAACAAGAAATTATTTATCTCATAATAAAAAATGTATTTAGTTCAAATATTTTTATATATTATAGTATTTATGATTATTAGTTACTAATATTGAGATTCATTAATTAAAATTCATATAAGAGAAACACTATTATTAATAAAATAATTAATTAATTATGAAAATAAATATGCTTCATTAAAACATTTTTATCTAATACATTTTTTTATTATTAACTACTAATATTGTGATTAAATAATTAATTTCATATTAATAAAATATTAATATTTAAAATAATTATTTAGTAAATAAAAATTAGTTACCTCTAGTGAAAAACATATTTTATTAAAATATTTTTATATATTACATTATTTATATTATTAATTAGCAATATTTTTATATAATGAGAAATGTACTTTATTAAAATATTTTATATATTACATAATTTGTGATTATTAATTAATAATATTAAGATTAATTAATTTCATATTAATAAAACAATTATTATTAATGAATATTTATTAATAAATTAATTAATAAAAATAATTATTAATGAAATAAAAAACTCTAATGTGAGCTTTCCAATAGGTATAGTTTCTTTCATTGAAAAGTGGGAGTCGATTTACAACGTGTCCCTCAGGAAAAATCGTTACGACGGTCAAACTAGCCATTTCTTCCCTTAATTATGAATCCTAATTATGGGTAACCTCGCTCTTATAGTGCTTGTTGGATCTGAGATGCAAGCATAGAGGGAGGGTGAATAGGGTTGCTGCCATTTTCCGCTAAAAATAAAGGATATGCAACATAATAAACAAAATAAAAGTGAAAAATAATTAACCAAGAACATGCAAGATTTTATAGTGGTTTGGATATCAATCCTTCTGTTTATCATAAAATAAGATTTCAAAATTTGTATTAATTGAATTGTTTATTACAAATCAAAATCGCTTTTACACAGAAGCAAAGAGAATTGATTTGATCTCTCTTTGTTTAATGTGAGTTCTTTGGGATGATAGGATGCTTCCTTCGATGCTCGTGTCGAGTTTTTTTCACTTTGACGATTCAAACGAGGTTGTAGAAAAACTTTAGCGCGTGGTAGAAGTTTGGTTGGATGAGTTCGAAGGCCGAACAAGTGCTATTGCTTGTAGGCCGAGTATGCCGAGATCTCAAAGTTCGGTCTTCTTCTCCTGATGATTCGAACAAGACTACCAATAAGCTTCGTCGCGTGGTAGAAGATTTATCAGAGTTTGAATACCCGAGCTAGGATATTTAAGAGCCGAGTGCACAAGATGCTAGGTTCGTCTCCTTGCCTTTGCACCTTTCTGTTGGACTTTTGGTTCATGAAAAGGCAATTTTGCTTTTGTGAATAGTCCCACATCGGAAAATGAGAAGAAGTTCAAGAAGTTTATAATGGCTCACATCTCAATGGGCTTTGAGTTAGTGTTTTGGGCCTAGTTTATAATGGCTCACGCCTCGCCGCACCGCACTCGCACGAGTTTTTTGCCTCTCAAGTTTTATTTTTTGCACATTTTACACAAGTTTGTAATGGTTGTGGGAGTTATGGAAACGTATAACGGACGCGGGATTTCTGTGTAACGTCTGCAGACTATCGGCGACGGTTAAGAAGAGCAAGAGCTATATAAAGATCTGAAGCTCATTCGGAAAAGACACAACAGCAACAAGAAGAAGTGAGAAAAAGAAGCATCAAATCCGAGAGCTATGCTTTTCCTCAAAATTTTCTCAGTTACCATTTACTTATATTTCGGGCAACCATCTTCGTCTGAGCAGAAACTCTGCTACTCGCGCCCGAGTACAGAGGCCGGTCGTTTCCGGGGGCTTTTACCGCTAGGGGGTGAGGATCGACTACGCCAGGGCGAAAGGTGGGTCCTCTATCTTCTAGGGCAGTGAATCACGACTGCACCCATTCAGGTCTGGTGTTCTAACTTTTTTATTTTTAGTTTTATAATAATTGTTTTAATTTTTAATAGCACTTTCCTCTCTTTTCTGCCCCTCCCCCCCACACTTTTCTTGTAGCCATCAATGAATATTTATAGAGAAGAATGACCAGTAACCACCCCCTCAAAACGTGGAAAATGGGCACAACCACTTCCACAATTTATGCTTTAGTGGCTGACTTGGTCAAACAATTCAGGCGAACTTGACGTTCAGGCGAGCTTGATAATTCAGGCGAGCTTGACCATTCAGGCGAGCTTGGCGAGCTTCACTCCTGTAAGCGAGGTTGGAACATGCAGGCGAACCTCGTAGGCGAAGCTATCAGGCGAGCTTCAATCAATTCATGCGAGCTTCAAGCGTCCGGGCGAGCTTAGCTCATGCAGAAGAGGTTGGAGTATGCGGGCGAACCTCGTAGATGAAGCTATCAGGCGAGCTTCAATCAATAAGGCGAGCTTAACTTTGTTCAGGCGAAGCTCAATGTTTAGGCGAACTTGGCCATGTTTGCAGAGTCAAGTATTCAGGCGAACTTGGCTTTGCTTATTTGATTCAGGCAAAGTCACACTATCAAGCGGACTTGCCTTTAATGTTCAAGCGAACAAGTAGACATGGCTTGGTTCAGGCGAACCCTAGTCTTGCAGGCGAAGTTCATGCGTCAAGGAACATAACTTGCTATGAATAACGGGTCATAACTTTTAAACTGTAAGTCAGAATTAGACAAATTATATATGAAAATTGACTATCTTAACGAGATGGGGCCGACCAAACCAACCAAAGTTTGGTTTGCCACCGTCTGTTTTACCAAATTCTCTCCGGTTTGAGAGATATCAGCGTTTTTATTCGTTTTTTACTATTTTTGTTAATGTTCTTGCAGGCGAACTTCTGAATTTCTCTGTTAGGAATAAAAGCAATTTTATTTGCCTACAATGGTCAACATTTCTTTCTCACGAAGTACCTTTCTCACTATGCCAATAGTTCTCCTGAATCACAACCCGATTCAGTAGGCTTACAAAGGCCGCATATTTGAATCTACCCAAAACCAGCCGTGTAACTAACTCACCATAGTTAATAATACCTAGCCCTAGCTAGTCCCAACGTCAATTAACACCGGCTTGAGAACGTTGTAAAAGTAAGTTTGAAACAAACCAATAAACACATTTTAAGCACAAAAAATAAGAAAGATCTTACAACTATTTTCGATTAACAAACCATCATTCAATGGATCAAAGTGAAGTTTGATGAAGAACGATATAGATGATGAAATCAAAGACAACTCTTCTTGCTAAGATGATCTGAAGATGTTGAGCGCGATGAGAAAGCGTTTGTTGAGGCTCTGGGGGTCAAAACCTTCAATCTAATATATTCTCTAATAAAAACCCTAAAGCTCTTATGAAAACCCTAGAACACTCTGATCTATTTATCTCTTTCAAATCATATGTAGTCTTTAATTAACCAAGAAGAGATATCCTTAACATGGTAGAAGTTGGAGATCAAAAGGAACCACGAACGACTGTAATTAAATCCTCAAATCTGCAATCAGTTGACTTAACAATTGATGGTTGCTCACAACCATTGATGGGTCCTTGAGCACCATCGACAGGTTTCTGTAATCCATCGATGAGTTAAAATCATGTCTCTAGAATTCTGCAATTTGTTCATGTTGATAATGAATGACCTCATAGTCATCGATGGGTCCCTGGTGACTATCGATGGTATGAAGGCTGAAATCAGTGTTTGTGTTGATTTCAATGTCATTTCGCCTCGTACATGTCTTATACCTGTAGTCATTTGCATATATCATTCTAAACACATATTAGTAACAAACGAGAGTTTGTTATTCTTCAAACAAGAACTATTATAGCGCCATAAATAAATATGTGGGACTAATATAAAATACTAAATATGTAAGGCAGTAATATAGGGCCATAAATAAATAAATAAAAGAAAAAGTAAAGGCAGGGGTAGTATAGAACCCCCCTTCGCCTCAAATCGGAAACCCCCTCCCAACAACTGTGATAATCTACTTCCTCCTCAAGTCTCCAAACTCCTCAAACCCCCCTACAAACCCTAGTCCCCAATAACAATCCCTAACCCTCGCCGTAGAACTTCGTCATCCATCTCAATGGCGGACGATCCAACCACCGCCGCCCATTCGCCATCGGCGAATCCGTGATCCCATCGCTCAACAAGCTCCAGGACATCTCGCCTCAGCTCGGAGCTCATCGACGATCGATCTCCCTCAAGTCGCGGTCGTCGGCAGCCAGAGCAGCGGCAAGTCCAGCGTCCTAGAGCGCTCGTCGCAGGGACTTCTTGCCACGTGCAGCGACATCTGCACTCGGCGGCGCCGCTGGTTCTTCAGTTGGTTCATTTGGGAAAGGGGGAGGGAGATGGGGGAGAGGAGTGGGGGGAGTTCTTGCACTTGCCCGGGAATAGGTTCTACGACTTTTCACAGATTCGGAAGGAGATTCAGGTGAAAATTTAGGGTTTTCAGAAGTTCTAATGTAGAAATGTAGGTAGAGAATGGAAAAAACTGCTACCTTTGGTTGTGCATGTCACTTTAAATTACAGTGAATGTCTTGCGGGGAAGACATGTTATGATTTCTCGCAGATTCAAGATTCAGGTGTGAGTAGGGATGTGTAAAATTTAATGTGGTTATGTAGATAGACAAGAGGAAAAGCTACCTTTGCTTGTGCACGACAGTTTAAAGTACAATGACCATTATTGCACTTGCTTGGGGAAGATATTCTATGATTTTTGAAAGATTACCAAGGGGTTTCAGGTGAAAGTATATGGAAATTTTAATGTAGAAATGTTGGTAGAGAAGGAAAACAGATTATGGTGAAAATTTGATAGCTAATGCCTTATTGACAATTATAAATATAGTATAGATCATCCAATTTAGTGCCTTGTGAATGTTTTATATTTTTTTTATTAAGGTCATAATGTAAAATCAAATCAAGAAATAGCTGACCATCGACTGTCAAGAGCAATCTAGTTTGGTGATCCAGTATGATCTGATTTTACCATAAGATTCGTGATATTGACAACACACTCAAGCTAATATTTAACCAAAAACAAATATTAAGTATAAATGTTCAAGCTTTCCTAGACACCCCAATAAAGTAAGTTTCTGTACTAAGGTATTTGAAGCATGTCCTTTTGTATGCTGGTTGTTCTCATCTCTTCTCTATGGAATGTACGATTTATACTGTATGCTTTTCTTTAAATGGCTGGTGGCATTTGGTACTTGCAGGCTGAAACAGACAGGGAAGCTGGTGGGAACAAGGGTGTTTCAGACAAACAAATTCGCCTGAAAATATTTTCACCAACTGTTTTAAACATTACTCTAGTTGACTTGCCGGGAATAACAAAAGTGCCGGTTGGTGATCAACCAAGTGACATTGAGACAAAGATTAGAAATATGATCTTATCATATATCAAACATGAAACTTGCATCATATTAGCGGTTTCACCAGGAAATGCAGACCTAGCAAACTCTGATGCACTGCAGATGGCCAGGATTGTTGATCCAGATGGTAACTTCTTATTACAATATTGCTTGCTGATTTAAGTATTGATCTAGTTTGAATGTGAATATAGTTGTTCTTTCATACTGTTATTTTTAGCTATGTGTAAACTGGGATAAAAATACCTCTCAGAGACTGGTTTTCTACTTTTTCATGACAGGTTCCAGAACAATTGGTGTAATCACAAAGGTACATTTTCTGGAAAATGCATTTCTTTAACTTTGATGCCTTCAGTCGGTTAATGAGACACGATCACTCGCTTCTCTTTGGCTTCAGTTGGATATCATGGACAAAGGTACCGATGCTCGCAGACTTCTATTAGGAAATGTCATCCCTCTTAAACTTGGCTATATTGGTGTGGTAAATCGCAGTCAACATGTATGTCCCTTGTTCACGATTCTCAATTTCCCTGTAATCATTTGTTATTTCATTTAATTTTGTTTTACAAATATCTGACCCTAAATACGGCCGTATTTATTCCATATTTTTCCTGATATATTTTTGAGGGCCATTGCTTCTAGCCTCTGGCTTTAAGAAAACTTGCTACTACTACCAAGAAACTTTTCTCTTGCTTCCAACTCCCTAGTAAGGAAAACCCAAACGTTTTTTTAAGACCCCTAAGTTCCTAACTACCTTGTATTCTATCTTTTTATCCTTTTCTTTCTTCTCCCACTTTCTCATGAACCCGTGAAATCATGAGCTCATCACAACTTTAATTTCCAACTCCTGGCGCCTCGGGCCACCTTCTCCTCTGTCACACTTCACTTTGTCTAAAAAAAAAGGCGGCAGGCAACAATGGAGGAGAGATTGGTGATGAGGCAGCACCAAAATTATTGATAACCAATCCATAGTTAAAGTTCAAGGCAAAATTAAACACGAGGAATAATTTTACTATATACTAAAACAATTGGGTCTAGCACTGTAGCTAGGCGCTGTAACCACTATAGTGCAATCCAAAAGTTTAGTATATAGTTTGAAAGAAAAGGTGTAATTGTGCATTTTCTATATAAACCCAAAGTTGAAACTTAATTTGTTTTTAAGCAGCCCAAGTGCTCAATCAACTTGAATAAGATAATAAAATAAGAAACTATAATATAATTGTTTTTTTCTACAGACGCGAAACTCTACCCCTATTTATTTTTAAACTCACACACTTCCAAAATTACTGTTATACCCAAGATGCTCTAATGAATTAATTTTAAATCCACTTTGAATTTTATGAGTTTGATATACGTTGTGATTTGCTACTTTAGATAGTTTTTTTTGCCTATAAACTCAGCGTCTAACCCATGTTTATTTCTAGCCCACCCATTTCGGAAAAGGGTTTTTTGCCTATAACCCAAAGTCTCCAAATTGATATTAAACAAACCCACTTTGTAAATCACTGTTACACCCAGAACGCTCCCATGGAATATTTTTTAATGCACACTGTATTTCATCAATTTTGATATATGGCGTAAGTTGCAACTTGCAACTGTAAATAATTTTTTTGCCTATAAGCCCAATGTCTTACCACGTTTTATTTTACCCACCCAAAGTGTCAGATTTTTTGGCCTATAAATGTAAAGTTTTGCCTCCGGTTATTTTTAAATCCACCCGTTTCCAAAATCACTCTTAAAACACAAATTGCTCCCAACAAATTCGTTTCGAACTCATGTTGTATTTCATTGGTTAATGATTTAACTTGCAATTTTCTACTTCCTATATTTCTTCCTAAAGTGGCGAAAGATATGGTGTATTTTTAAACCAAATGCTTAATACATTACTTTTTTCGCTTTTCAAATTAATGCCATCACATTTGGTGCTGTAGATGGATTTTTGGCCTATAAACCCAAAGTTTTACTCCCGTTTATTTTTAAACCTATCACGTTCGAAAAAGGTTTTGTTCCTATGTACCCAAAGTTTTACCTCCATTTATTTTGAAACTCACTCACTTCCAAGAATCCATTTTAGACCCAAACTTACTCCATCCATAGTTTTTAATCCCATTTATTGTTTAACCTACTAACTTCTGAAAAGGATTTTCCCCTATAAACCAAACTTTTACCCCAGTTAATTTTGAACCCACCCACTTTCAAAATCACTCTTAGACCCAAAGTACTCCACCAAATTATTTCTAAACTCACGTTGTATTCTATCAGTTAAATACAATGTAAGTTGCTATATTTTGGTGTATCTTATTAAATTTAGTTCCAAGTGATCAGCTATATGATGTATTTTAAACTAAATACTCAAACCATTCTCTTTTTAGCTATAACCCTACAATTTTGTTTTCATTTATTTTTAAACCTACTCACCTCCAACTCACCTCCAGAAAGTTTTTTTCGTTATAAACTTAAAGCTTTACACTCATTTTTTAGACTCACCCATTTCCAAAATCACTCTTAGACATAAAATACTCAATCGAATTATTTTTAAACCCACATTGTATTTCAATAGTTTTATATATGTTATAAGTTGTTATATTTTGCTATTATTTGCTATATTATTTGTAACTTGTTAGGCAGACAATGTATTTCAATAACCATATGCGTACATGATTTTTTTGATTGTTTTCACACTATTACCGCACTATCGCGTTGGTCAATTTAGCTCCTTAATAGCTAATGGTGACAAAAATGTAATAAAAGTAACTAGTTAGACACAAAGATGTGAATTTATAGACAAAGATTAAAAGTTAAAAACAAGATATATACAAATGTAATAACTAATAGCTAAATGTGACGAATCAGAAGCTAAATGTGAGTTACTTATGCGAAAAGTAACAACTTACACCCTAAGGTAACAATTAATAGCTAACGGAGGAGGGATGGCGGGCGGCGCCTGAGGGAAGTGGCGGTGGAGGAGAGGTTGGCAGTGAAGCAGAAGAGATGGTGGTTGAGGGAAAGGAGGAGGAAGAGAGGATATATTAGGTCCATGAGGAGATGGAAAATAAGAGTGGTTGAAGGTGACAACATGGTGAAGGTATTTTAGGGATATTAAAAATATGCATGTCAGGTCAAGGGGTTATAATATGATTCTTTGGCTCCGAGGGGGCTTTTGATTTTTTTTTAAAAAAAAAAAAAAGAAAAGAAAAGAAAATAAAAATAAAAAGCAAATTTCCCTTTTTTTACAACCAACCCCCAATGCCCCCATCCACCCCCAAACCAAACAAGGAAAGAAAAAAAATGCCTGCACCCGCAAATGAACAGATTGCGTATGCAACCACATGTTTGTCTATGTGTACGCACTAAATCACATATTGTACATTGTAACATTGAGAATCAACTATCCAGATATGCACACTAATAATCCTTTGGAAAATATGTCATCTTTATGTGGATTTAGATGGAGTTTGTGCACATCCTTTTGTAAGTTATTCATTCAAAGTGGGACAAGTTAACTTTTTCATGTTATATCTATACTTTTTCATGTTATATCTATTGGCAATAATATGGATCACCATCTGTTCTCAAGTACGCCCCAATATTTCTTCAGTCTAATTATAAAAATTTCACTTTGCTTTGAGACATGCATTTGATGATAGTTGTAGAAACTGTAGAATTACAATTAACTGGGATCTTTGCCATTTGATAATTCATGTAGTATTAATAGGCTGGATGTGCTTTGTGGATTTCATAATGCTTTAACTATTTTACATTGGGGTGAAATCATGCAGGATATCAATGAAAACCGATCTATCAAAGCTGCACTCGCCTCTGAAGAGAGCTTTTTCCGCCGTAATCCGGTACAATTATAAATTTCCTTTTGGAGCTTCGACTGATTCTGAGACACATGGAACACATCCATCTGGCACACTAAAGGATAACCACATTTTATCTGATTATCCACAGTGTTCACACTTTTATATTAATATGACTGCTGGTCGTAGGTGTATAATGGTCTTTCTCATTGTTGTGGAGTTCCTCAATTAGCCAAGAAGCTGAATCAGGTAACTAAAACAAAGAAATTCATCCTTCACTCTTGCAATATACTACATGTTGTCGCATCAAAAAGTTTTTCTGGCTGACCAAAACTTTGCCAAGAACCTATTTCCATATATCTGGAGCTGGTTTCTCGAGAAGCTGTTTATATATTTATATATTTTGCAAACACTATATCTAATGTCAAACTTGGAATCATTGTTTGAGGTTGACCATGCAAACTATGAGTTCAAATCTCCTATGTTTTATTGGTTTCAAGTATTTCCTTGCAGATTTTAGTTCAACATATCAAAGCAGTGCTACCAGGATTGAAATCTCGGATAAATGCTCAATTAGTCACCGTAGCAAAGGAACATGCTGCGTTTGGTGATGTTGCAGAATCAAAGGTATCCCATATTATGACTGGACTGAGTGCAGTTGTCAATATATTATTTTCTTTCGCCACATGTCTCGATCGTTTATGCATTTGCATGTCCATTGGACCTTTTGGGTGCTGTTATTAGATCAGCCCTTTTAAAATGTGACAGGCATTGACCAAACTTCACATAATTTATTTTCTTTTGATGCATGCTTGTGATGGTGTGGGCTTATTCAAATTTGCAATTCAAGTGACAATTCTTGTACATCAAGGTGCCTTTTTTATAATAATTTACACCTCGTCTTGACAACATGAAAACATTTTCCTCATTCAAAAACCCTGATGGAGCTGATGGAGCATCATTAAATTTTTAACACGAAAAACCCCACATTTACATTAGGTGCCACTAACTGTGAAGCTTATATACACTTGAGTATTGTATCTCTGGCTGTATGAAGCTAGCTGCTACTCTTTTTTCTAGACTAAGAATCGAGAAATTTACATAAGAGCCCATAGTGAGACCATTAGTGAAATGTTATAGTTAGAACAGCAATTTCCTAGTGTTAAAACATACAGAATATGTCAAAACATTGAATATCAATATAAAGTGGCAGATTGAATATCTATTTTCAAAAAGAACACTTGAAACACATGCTAATTTCTCTTTGTGCTTCACACTGTTTGTCAAAATCTTATGAAATATAATAATTGCTCACCCCTTACTATCAACTGAAGGATCATGCTAGTAACATCTCAAATCTAACCCACTGTGGGTGACCCGGACAGTTGGGACTGAGGTTCCAATATGGGTTTGCTTTACACATCACAAAGCCCCTGCCATGTGCAGGCTCTTTATTCAATCAATAAAAAAAGAAAAGATATAAAAACCAAAGTCAATCTATGAGAGTTTGAGGGTACCCCTCGAGCAGTACCTCCCAAAGGAAGTTACCGGCCTCCTCTCTCTCTCTTTGGGGACTTTTTTTCCCAAGACTCGTCTCTGTCCTTCGAATGCCTTCTTCTTCTAGCTTCTGTAGCAGGAGCGGTTTGTAGGTTAGCTCGTTTATGAAGCAAGGAAATCCTACTGGCGGTAACGATTGTACCTTTGACCCATATGACGCCGCTTCTTTGATCATCACATGATGAATATTGAATAGTCTTTCTTGGTCACCCAAGAACACTCTCAAGCGGTAGATCAGAGAAAGAGAAAGGAGACCGTCATTTTCTATTTTGATCCAATGTTTTTTTTGAAATTTTTTTCTTCTAAAGAATTGGAACATATTGATTTATATTTACGACCTTCTTTCCTGTGGTCATCAGCCACTTTGCTGCCGCGGGTTCCCCGTCACCAGTTGTCTCAGTCACTCGGACCAGATTTATTTGTTCTGTTAGATTCTTTGTAGCATTTGGCGACATCCTGCGGTCTTGGGTTCGATTCCGGGCTAGGTTGTTGGAAAACGAGAAATCTCAAATCTTGAATCACTTCTGTGCCATTATGTGGTCTGTACTGTTAGGATCACCCTCAGGAGATGACTTCTTTGCTGCATGTCATTGTACTATCTGACTGTTAACTGTAAAGGGAGAAATATCTCCTTCTGTGACCTCAGGTAAAATGCCAGGATATTAGATATAAGTGGCAACAAATCACATTTCTGGTACTTGGTCCCCTTACATGGAACCAGATGTAAGTAACATTTTCGTGTAACTATCAATTAAAGATTGCATGATAAGTTCTGGAGCTTACTTTGGTTTACTTAGGATTTTAAAGGGTTTTCTTTGCTGTTCATACCTTGTGGAAATTTCTTACCTGCTGTAGTCTAATGTGTAAAGTAGCCCATCATTTGAAGTAAAATGTTAACTGTTTACATATAGATTTACTTTCCGTAAAGGTTTACTTTCCTTTTTAAGTATAGCCTTTAAATTATGTTGTTCTTTGCATTTCAGAGCCAAAATTTCCTGTTAACTAAAGTTTGCTCTATATTGTTGCATTCATTTATAGTAATCCATCTTCTATATCATGTCAACTACAGGCTGGCCAGGGAGTGAAACTTCTGAACATCCTTGCAAAATATTCTGAAGGTAATCTTGAATTCAACCTTCTGAAGCTTTTTAATATTTGCTCTTGTGGTTAATAAGTTAAATTTTTATATTTGTTTCTTTAATTTATTTCATGCATAAGTTTGTATTTTCCACTGTGACTTGAGTCTTCTCCTACAAGCTTGTTGCACCAGGAATTAGCTATAGCAAGATTGACTGTACAGACATAAATAGAAAATTTTAACCATGTCAGTATTTCTGGCCGATATAATTACGGACTTTTCTTTTGCTAACAGAGTTTCAAGAGTGCAGCAAAATTTCACATCCTAATCTCATCAACCGTGAAAAGATGGATAAATAAGCAATTGCCTGTTTGTCTAAAAAATAAACATTTGCAAATTTATAAACTGCTAATAAGTATCCAGCTGGATTCATGCCCCAGATGAGTAGTTGGCTAATTTCTGTTAAAGTCACAGCTCACATGTAAAGGTTAGTACCCCGTGAACAATCCAATCTAAGCACTGAGATCATTTAACAGTGGTCCGAACTATGTTATAAATTATTTTATATGGTCTAATTCAATCCATGCTATAGCCTAATTCAATCCCTGCTATAGCCGAATGAATTAACTAAGTCTATTGTTCTTTTGGCCTTGCTGCCTTTTTATTCTGCTATGAAGATACCAAGTACAAACAAATGAATTTAGAGAGTTCTTTTTTTGGAACTTTTAAAGAAAATAGTATCTGTATTATGATAATATTTAATCTTGAAATTCAAAAAGATAAATTTTGTAACGTGGGACAAAACTGTCGCTACAATTTGTGTAATGGGTGTGCAGGCAAAAGCACACCCTTTCAGTGCTGTCATTGAAATCTTTCAGCATTGTATTGCGGAGCAGCAGGATCATGGAAATAAAGAGAAGTACACATGCAGGTGTGTTCATGGTGCAAGTACAGAACCGAGGAAAACCAAGTCTGAAGGGTTTGCTTGTATGCATAATGGTTCCACAAGTATGAGCTGCTAAGCAGTAAAGCCTGATGTTCAATGTCAACATTTCTGTAAAGAATATGACCTATAGTTTATTTTGATTGCAACCTCGCTGGGGACTAACTATATTTGACATACAGCTAAATGCTGTAAGTAGCAATCAGGATGTGAAATTTAATGGACTCCTAGATTCCAATTCAACAAGAGAAACAACATGAATTGGAACTGCAATACACTATCCTCGACTTTATAAAATTTAAATTATGTGAACACTGGCCCATCATTGTCTGTGCTCAACCATCAGATGTTTTTACTATTATGTTTAGTGCAGTCTCATCATGAAGTGCTATGAGATTTCTAATTATACCCCAGTCAAATTGCTGTAGAATCTTTACTCTTGTTTGTGAAGAATTAAAGCTTGTAATCTCTTCCCATTTAGCAACTTATCAGTGTTTGTGTTGCAGCATTTTGCTCAATGGTGGAAGGCAAGAATGAAGAATTGTCAACAGCAGAGCTTTCTGGTGGAGCCCGAATTCACTACATTTTTCAATCAATATTTGTGAAGAGTTTGGAGGTTAGAAAATTTACTAAACATGGTTATTAATTAATAATTGTTATTAAGGTGGATTAATGGGAAATAATTTGAAATACAAGATTGATGTTTGAATCAGAGTGTCTTCTAACGAAATTACCTTGTGGTTCAATGTGATTCTGACTTCATTAATACCCCCTAAACATGTTCTAATCTCAGCTGCTGTTTCATTTTCAGCATCATATTCTGTTCGCTTTTTAGTTGTCTTAGCTTCTGTTTTGTTCTACCTTATTATGATTGTACTTAAAAGAGGTGTTCTTTACCATTTATTCTGTAATATTGCTTGATCATGCAATTAGATTCTCTTGTAGGAAGTTGATCCTTTTGAGGATGTGACCGATGAGGATATCCGCATGGCAATTCAAAATGCTACTGGCCCTAGAAGTTCTTTATTTGTGCCAGAGGTGAATTTCTTTATATTGTATCTGTTTGGCGATTGCCGATGTTAAACTTTCTGCTTGTTTTCATCTCACTTCTTTTAACTGAATGTCAAATATTTCTCCTTGCTATAATTCTGTAAGGTGCCATTTGAGATTCTTGTACGGAGGCAGATAGGTCGTTTATTGGATCCAAGCCTTCAATGTGCAAAATTTATCTATGATGAGTTGATTAAGGTACACATCTTGCATCTAAATTTTGGTGTTGCTGTGATATTTCGAGAGATCCTCCCAAATTAACAAACTTTATTGTTTCTGATTACTTCTTGTAGATGACACACCGATGCTTATCTAATGAGCTGCAGCGCTTCCCTGTCCTTCGGAGGGCCATGGATGAGGTAGTTGGTAAATTTTTACGAGAAAACCTTCAACCTGCAGAAGCAATGATAACCCACATTATCCATATGGAGGTAAGCAAGTCTGCATGTTCTCTTTCTTTTTCCCTCCTTTTTTTGGGTTGTGTGAATAGACAATTTCAAATTTAAGTACTCAGGAAGAAAACAAACTCAAAAGTTTGTTTTCACGTGGCTGCATGCGTTTCCACATGCCTCAAGTTTGTGAGGATTGTAGCTGACGTATTGGCTCTGAAATAAGGGATGCTCTTGCTACTATATTTATGATTGCCACATAGTACTAGCTGCATGGTGGGTGATGCTAGACTGCCTCCCATTTCTATTCACGTGACAGTTTAAATACTATTCTCTTTTCTAATCTAAAATCTAAATACTAATTTTTTTTTGAGCTGGTAAATCACATGTAGCTGAAATATGGAAGATAAAAATTAGAAAAATGGCACATTGACCAGTATAAGGAAATTTGCCCAGAAAACTGTAGGTTATATAACCTGAAACAATAATTTTTTTTAGTAATTATCATATCATCTATGTTACCCGGGTACGGCAAAATGGGTGCCGTACCCGTGTCGGGTGCGGTTTGGGTACGGATCCGCACCCAAACGGCAGGGACACGGCGATTTCACGAGTGAGAGGGGAAAAAATGCCGCGAACCTGAAGAAGGGAAGACAGTCGAGGGATGAGTAAACGCCGATCTTCAAGGGATGACGACTTCGAGGGAGGAGTCGACGACGAGCTTCGAGGGATGAGTCGGCGACGAGCTTCGAGCGAGGAGTGAACGACCAGCTTCGATTTGAACAGTGAAAACCCTAGCCCGAAACAAATTCTTCGACGGCGACGAGCTTCGACGGAGGACTGAAGCTTGGACGAGCTCCGACAGAGGATTGAGGCTTGGACGAGCTTCGAGGGTCTTGTGAGGGGCCATCGATGGAGGACTGGCTTTGGGTTCGCGAGGAGAAATGGAAGAGGCGACGAGGATGAAAACCCTAGGGGGAAGTTACGGTTTTATATGGGGGAGGGGTGTGGGTTTGGATTTGGGTTTGATGGGGGAGGGGTTTGGGTTTGGATTCGGGTTTGGGTTTTTTTCTTCACCTGTTTTTTATATGGAGTGGGGTTTGGGTTTGGGTTTGGGATTGGGTTGGGGTTTTATATAGGGGGAGGGGTTTGGGTTTGGGTTTGGGTTGGGTTTTATATAGGGGGAGGGGTTCGGGTTTGGGTTTTATGTGGGGAGGGGTTTGGGATTGGGTTTATATAAGTAATAATATTAGTTCTAAATTTTTAAATAAAATAAAAATAGTTTTCTATTTCTTAGAATTGTTAAATAAAATAAAAATAGATTGTCATATTTTAGGGTATATTTGCAAATGTAATAGGTATTTAATTCAACACTGATCTAAAGTGAATTATTTTATATATATACAGCCGTGTCCCCGTACCCTATTTTTTACAAATTTGCCGTGTCCCGTACCCGTACCGGTACCGGTACCCGTACCCGTACCTAGGTAACATAGCATATCATACTCCTTTTAAAAGCATGAGTTTAGGAAAAGCTTTCCATGGTCAATATTACCCTTCATCATTTTAAATATTTTATTTAAATCTTAATTTATCCTAATCCTAATTTGTCTTATGTTAATCCCACGTGAACTACCTATAGCTCAACAATTTAAAAAAATAAGATTAATAAAATACATGAAACACTATTTTGAATATTTCATTTAAACATTAATCTATCCTAGTACTAATTATATCCTATACTAATCCCATGTGAAAAACCTATAACTCAACAATAGAAAAAAATAAGATCAAGAAACCGTATGCAGCTAACAACGTAACATATTATAATACATGAAGTATTACAAAAAAACTCAAAAAGTTTTAAAAATTGCACAAAATACCCCTAAAGTTCAAAATTATACAAAACACCCCGACTTTTCAAACCTTACCAACAAACATGAAATTTGGAAATTAACAACCCCCAAAGAATTTATAATTTGCAGTTAACACCCTTAATATTTTAAAAATTGTAGAAACAACTTCAAAAGTTCAAATTACAAAAGAACACCCTGAACTTTTGAAAATTTAAAACTTGCAAACAACATAGATGAATTCAAGGGATTTCCATTAGACACTTGAAAATTTAAAATTTGTAAAAATAACCTTCAAAGTTACAAAAAATGTGAAAACTCCTTCAAAGGTTACAAATTATAAAAAATCCTAAAATTTCAAAACCTGTATGATACACATCAAATCCAGAAATTATCAGTAGATTGTTGAAAATATGAATTTTGCAAAAAAACCACCTGAAATTTCAACAATTATAAGAAACACCCTAAAAAATTCAGAGTTGCAAGAAATATCCTAACATTTAGAAACTTACCATTAACATACAAAATGTGGAAATTACAAGCACCTAACTTAAAATTTAAAATGTTCAAAAAACACTATCAAACTTTCAAAAATTGAAAAACACACCCTCAAAAGTTTAAAATCACAAAAAGGTTTGAAATTTCTAAACTTGGCAAAGAAAAGATGTTTGATATTCTTTCATTAAAATATAAAATTTAACTCCCAATTTAAAGTTTATTATCCCTTTCAGTATCTAAAAGTAGTCAAGTTGATGTTAGTAAAAGATAACAATAACAATAGATTGAAAACATCCATTTAAGGAATTTTTAAAAAAAATATATGATAAATTAAAAATTAACGTTACGATATAAATTAAAGGAACCACATAATTTTACTAATAACATTAATTGATAGAAGACTAGATTGCATAAAACTGATAAAATACTATAGTATAATATCTTAGCGTTAATTTATTATAATGTGCAAACATTGATCTTTGATGTTAATAATATTTATGGGGTAAAAAAATACAAGGAGTTATATATGGAGAAACTATTAGAAAGTTCAGAGATATTTTTCAAAAGGATTGAGCTGTTTTCATATCAAATGGAGAAGTGACGAAAATAAACCCAAAATTCTGAAACGATCATGAATCACTTGAGTTGACATTAACAAAATGCATATCTATCAAAGAAGCACCGACTGTGTTCTCTTAAAGAATATATTGAATAACTTTATCCCAATTAAAGAAGCATTCTCCATGGAAGATATAAAAAAAATAGTAAGTATTTATAAATTTTTATACTTTATTCTTCAAATACTAAAGGAATCATAAACTTAATATAAAATTACCTATAAATAATTTTGCAATAGAAACTAATGTGAAACCATTGATCAACTATATTGCGAGATATAACAAGCCAGATAAGAGGAGAGAAATCACTATAATGGAAAAAAGGTGTACACGTGATACTTATTTATAATAACATAAGTAAAAAAAGTTAAAATCAATATTTTTCTTTTTCTATACAGTGGCATTGCTCTGCATGTAATTTTATTTGGAGATATAACTACCAACGAAAGATCAATTCTTAAAGATACGATCAAAGATAAGCATGTAATAGCACTATCAAAATTTAAGATCTTTAAATATGAAGGTAATATATTTTATTACTAATAAAATTCTTATTAAATGCCACTAAACATAAAATTCACCTTATATATATCTCAGATTTGTAGGGGAGATATGCATGTCATCGTAAATTGCGTCAACAATATATATCAACTCAAAGATACAACTTATTAAAAAAATAAGAGAATGGTAAGTAAACCAAGTAAACATCCATATAACACATTAAAGAAAAATTACATTTTAAAGCTAATATGTAAGGCTCATGCAGAACAAGTTGCCATGACAAAAACATTTCCATCAAGGCTCTTTACAAATACAACACAAATTTAAATTACCGATATATGCAATCATCACAGTATCCAAAAGAGGTATGATCTTATAAGACCTCTAAAATTCACATAATTAAACGTGAAAATAGTTTACCAATATACAGACACACTATTACACCTATAATGCAAAGATAACTACCATTTACAATAGAGTTGAGCCGTGGTTCTATACTTGCAAGGGTTGCAACAAGAATGTGAAAAGAGATGTTAATAAGAGTGTCAAAATGATAAATGTCACAGAATCGTTGGTGACGTAGTACCAATGTTAAGTAATTCTTCATGAAATAAACATATCAAAATCAAATACTAACATTATAATCTAAACAAATTGACAATAAAAAATACAGTTATTTAGTTCAGATCCTTATGAAAAATGACACGGAAAGAGCAAATGCAACATTATTTAATGCAACAAAAACTCTTATTTGGATGCACAACAGAATAGTCCATTACAGACAAAAAAGCGGTGACTCCTAACATTATTTAAGCCAGAAAATAAAAACACAAATATTTCATATATATAAAATTAACATTCATTTTCATTGCAACCAAAAAATAATTAAACTCCGTATTTTCAGGACTTTGTATTGAACATCGGAAATACATTCAACTTTTTTGTTAAATAAGACGAGAAGACAAAAAGATGAACGAGCCCAGGAAATAAATAACAGTAGAAGAAATCTAGCTCCATCTTAATATCACAATGGATGTAGATGATGAAGACACTATTCTAGAATTACCTAGAAAAAGGATAAAGATGCAGAACAATTGATCTCGACTCAATAAAAAAATGAAACAGAATGAATAAAATATCTGCTTTATGAATATTTTATAGAATAGTTTAATTTCTTAGAGTAAAATTAGGAATTAGAAGAGATTTTCATGAACTTTTTTTAGTACGATTATGTGCTTATGTGGATGTTTTTATCATACAAAAGTGTACTAAAGTTAGCATTAATCTTTAGTTTATGATTTTTTATAAAGTCTATCAATGATTAGGAACAAACATCATATTCTTTTTAGTTTCGTTCTAGCTCACTTTTAATCAATCATTTTGGCTTATTGGCTGTAACTATTCGTCTTCCTTTTATAATACTGTTTTTTCAAATGTTTTTCACTTTCACAACACTATATTTTCTCAAGCCAAGCTTGGCTTCATTTCGGTCCAAATAACATGAAATTCAAATGGTTTTGGATTACATTTGTTTCCTAACAATGTAATTATCAACATGAAAATTTAAATTCAGTGTAGCCCATTCAAACAAGCATAAAAGAAAATAAATAATCACAATGCTAAAGTTTAGAGAGATAAGAGAGCAAAAACTATTAAAGTTTTAACCGAGGAACAAATTTTATTTATGAAATAAATCAAAAATACTTAATCATGGTATTTAGCCACGTGCATTGCACATGCATAAAACCTAATATTGAACGAAAAAGAGAGAAGAAAAATATCTCATGTAGTAGGGAAAATATATGGACACAAGTACATTTCCATTGCTTACCAATGTAATCTTCTGCTTCATTTTTTCTTTTTTTGGTTCGTAGACGCAAATCATGGTCTTAGAATATGGTGACCTAAACTGATTGACTTGCCAGTACATTGCTTTGCTCCTGTTCTTTTGCTGTCAGTTAGGTTGTTTCAGTTTTAATTTTTCGTATCATAATTTGCTTTGTGCATGTTCTGGAAATGAGGAATAAAGGAACATGTCAAGATATAGATGCAGAAGTTAAAGGAAGAGTATAACTTAGCAATAGCTTTCGAGTCTTGGTGTGAAAAGTAACTTAGGTCGACATCTTAATTTTGTATATTTGACAGGATAATGCATGAAAGTCTTTAGATATAACTGTTGGGAATTTTTCTCCAAATACCCAAGGTTTTAAATGTCGGCCGACATATCGGTTTGAGGGCTTGACCGACACGACATGGATGTTTTCAACTCGTATGTCGGTTTTCAGGGCCAAATCGGAAATATCAGGGTCATATTGGGCATATCGGCCTATTTTTTATCTTTGAAAAATCGGTCAATATGATACTTTTTTTTAAGATCTGTTTTTTGTTATCGGATTTGGGTTTAGTAATAAATACCCAAACTCGTTTGACTCATTCTCATGTTTAAGGTTTCTTATGAACCCAATAGAAAGAATTTATGAACCCAAACCCATATATTATTTACTTCTTTATATGTTTAGTCTATAGAATTTATAAAATATGCTTATATTGAATTTATGAATGCTTATATTATATTTAGGACATGATATTATACATATGCGCACTACCTATGCTTATATTGAATTTATGAATGCTTATATTATATTTAGGACATGATATTATACATATGCGCACTACCCGATATGGCAATCCGATATTTAGTCAATGTTTAGGACATGATATTATACATATGCGCACTACCCGATATGGCAATCCGATATTTAGTCAATGTCCCCCGTTATATCCCCGATTTCCGCTATCCGGCATGGATTTCAGCCATCCGATATGAACCCGACATCCGATATTTAAAACATTGCAAATACCACATCCATACCTAATCTGTACTTTCCTTTTGTGTGTGTATGTGTGTTCAGTTTCTTCCTCTTCTCATGAAGTCAGGGGAATGCAGTTTATGCATTGGGTTGGTTGGACCTCAATAGAGAACATTTTGCATGGAGCCACTAAGTTGCTTGGGATTTTTAAAGCTCTCCTAGTTAATTTCACATTTTTAATATGGTTATGTAATGTTCCCTAAATGTTTTTTTCCCATAGCTTCTCATTTGAAGAGTTCAGATGCTTCAACTTAAAACTCGACATAATTTGTTTCGTAAACAACCTATTTCTGTTTACAGCACTCATCATTTAAAAAAATAAGACAGACTATT